CGCCCGGTCCTCGCTTGGCCCAGAGGAGGCCTGGCCTCCCCCCACCCCACCCCCAGGCTGCTCACGCCCGCCCAGAGCAGGGCTTGAGGGGGTCATGTGGGGGGATGTTGAGCGAAGGCTCCTCCCCAAGACCTCCCAGGGGACTAAAATTCAAACCCAGGGTGAAGAGTAAGGCTCCAGCCTGAAGCAGGGCTCGGTTCCGGGGAACCGGGACCAGGGCTCTCACTCCGCGGGCAGCAGTGGAATTCAGTCCCAGGCATTTGTTCAGCGGCTGCCCATCCGTGGGCTGCTGTTGGGGATCAGAACCAGCCTCACCAGATGTCATGCAGGAGCCAGGTTTTGGGGGGACTGGCAGTTTGGTCCGGATGGAGAGTCAGGACCAGGAGCATTTGAGGTGGATGTGCACTGAAGACTCCAGGCTGGGGTCTCAGGAGGAGAGGCCCGAGGGAAAGTGAATCAGGGCCACAAGGTTGGGGAGCGGGAGGGCACCCCGGAAGCCCTCTGCTCCCACCAGCCAGCCGGGCATGAGGTCAGAGCCGGGCAGAGGGATCTAGACTGGAGAGGATCTCCAGGGAGAACTAGAAAGAAGTCAGAGGAAGGACGGGCAGAGAGGAGGCCAGTGGTCACTCACCAGAACCCTGGGCTGGAAGGGAGATTTGGGGAGTCACCTGGTGGGGGAAGCACTGAGAGGCCAGAGGGAGAGGGCTTCCAGTGGAGGAGGGGGTATCTGGGCCCAAGGTGGCCAGTTTGGTAAGTCTGGGACTTGGGGGTGGGGGAGGGGGGTCGGTGACAGCAGGGCCCTGTTTTGCCACCCTGGAGAGTCACTGCGAGTGGACATCCACCTCAGAACCCCTTGAGAATCGTCGGGTCACCCTTTTATATTTAATTCACTGCCTTAAAGCAGACATCCTGACTATGGCAGGGCCGGTGGCCAAGACCTGCCTTACTCCTGGGTGATCTTATCTGGCACCTGTCATATCCACAGGCTTCCTCTGGTTTTAAATGGCTATACCCTCACCCTCTGAGTTCAAAGGCCCCTGACCGTCCTCCCCACAGTCAGCGCCACAATGAGACCCAGACAGAAAGACCCCTGCCTAGTCTGGGCACCCCAAGACCAGGCCCTCCCCCTGCTGTTGACTTGGTGGAGCAAAGATTCCCCAGGCCAAGGCAGTGTCAGCTCAGAGTCCCAGAAGCCCCGGACCTGAATTTGCTACCCACTTCCAGGCCTCTCTGGACTCTTCCAAGGCAGGTCAGCTGCTCTGGAGGCTAGGGAGGAGGGCCACCTCGCTCTCCTCACACTGCCCCGTCCTCCCAGCACCCCTGGAGAGGTGCACATGTGAGGGCTCAGCCCAGCCCCTCAGAGGGGGCGTAGTGCCAAAGGGCGGGCGTGGTGAGGACCTAGGCTAGCTGTTCTTGGACAGGCCCTCCTCCGTACTTGCTAATTGGTTCACCGAGTGGTGCCAGGACAGGCAGGGCGTCACGCCACTGTACGGTGGAGAAACCAAAGCACATGTCTTGGGTGACCTCAGCCTCACCCAGTCCTCTCCAGGGCATTTTCTGCTGTGGGAGAGCTCTATGGTCACCCCTCACCCTCATGAACTCCACTGGGCTCATACAGGGGTGCCTGGCAGCTGTTCAAGGGCCTGCCAGCCCCAGGTGTCTCTGGGTGGGTGTTTTTCAGAGGCTGGAGGACACTGTCCTGAGCCCCACAGCCAGCAAAGAAGACCGGGCGCTGACCGTGCATGGGGAAGGCTGGCAGGCCTCGCCCATCCCCCTGCCTGCCCGAATCCGTGAGATCGTGGCCAGCAGCCTGGGCGAGGAGCCACCCCAAGGTGAATAGAGGTGTCGTAAGAGGTGATGGGAATGAGAGGACACCAGGGGAGCTGCCCAGCCATCAGCCGCAGTCCAGCTTCAGGGAGTCAAGCCGCATTGTCCCCTACTGGGCCCCTGCTGGTCTGTCATCGTCCCGTGTGAAGGGCCACAGAACCACACCCTCCCATAGGAAGGCCCGGGGGGTCATGTGTCATACCCACTTTGTCCTCACTACTAGGCCACAGGGACCTGCCCAAGCCAGCACTGCATTTGTGTTTGTGAAACGTTTGTGAGCGCCAGTCTTGGTTTCATCCACATTTGTTTTTCATTAGATGAGGGAAAACCCTTAGGGTTGACACTCAGGAAACAGATGCTGATCAGCCCCCCTCCCCCATTCCATCCCCACCCCAAGAGCTGCGCTCACCCAACCCTGCAGGCCCCCTCGAGGCACCAGCTCATTGTCATGCTTTTCAGCTGAGGAACTGGCCCTGAGGCTGGGTTCCTGCACCGAGGCCACCCAGCCATTGGGCCTCAGAGGTGCTCATAACTCCAAACCAGTCTGGCACCCCCCTGGGTCCCAGGACCCCTTCTGAACTGAGGGTCCGTGCTGCCCTCTAAAGGAACTGAGAGCTCACTAGGGTGTATTAAGGAAAGAGAAACCCTGCGTGTGGTTGGAAAAGCAACTCATTATTCAGGGATGGGATCTGATTTCACTGAATCAGCAGTTCCCACTGTTTCCCAGGGCTGGGGCACCCCCACTCGTTGTAATTGGTTTGGGGCTCACCCTTGGCATCGGTTTGTGTTTGAGGTGAGGATGTTGTAAAAGGCAGGGAGGCAGGAGAAGGCCCACTGACCAAAGAGCAGGAGAGGCCCAGAGGGTGAAGTCTACCTCCCCCACATCCGGTCCCCTGGGTCAGAGCAGCCTTCAGGGCCACCATAGGGACAGGGTGCTATGGCTGGCCCCGGTGCCACCTGCAGGGGTGCGGGAGCCACCAGGAGCCTCAGCCCAGGTGCAGGAGGAGAGTGAGCTCCTGCAGGAGGAGCTGTCCCGGCTGGAGGACCTGCTGGCACAGGTGGGCACCGAGCGGGACGAGCTGGCCAGCAGGTACCACATGGTCAGCGAGCGGGTAAGTGTTCATAGAGGCACGTGCCAGACCGGGGGGTTGGGGGGGCAGCCGGGCCCAGGTTGAGGCGGTCACCCATTGGGACTGGCAGTTGGACCAGTGGGACCAGCATCGAGTCTTAGGATGTACCTCAGCCACGCAATCCAAACCCTGGGCTGGAGGTGGAAGGTGAGGGCAGGATGGTGCCAGGCCGCCCCAGGCTCACAGCCCAGCTAAGGCATTGAATTGTGCCCGCCTGCCCAGGAGCCCTGTGGGGGCGGCCTGATCAGTCCTGACTGTTGGCCCAGCGACTAGCCCAGGTGAGCCCAGCACCAGCCCTCAGTCAGCACCTGCCCCAGCAGGGAGGGTGGCAAGCGGAAGGAAGCAAGCCCTTTGGAGTCATGCTGAATTGGCCCCAATACTCAGACCCAGCTTGTGGAGAATTGGCTCAGCCCCAGCCCCCACCCCTCCTGACAGCTGAGGAACAGCTGTGACCCTTGGCCTGGGTCCTCCATCCTCTGTGCCTTCCAGGGTGTCCGGCAAGCTGCAGCCAGAGGCCGATTTGGTTACCAAGTCCGGGGGGTGGGGAGGGTGGGGGGAAAGGCAGGCTCCCATTGTGTATGTGGGGAAACTAAGGCAGAGAAGTGAAGATACTTACTCAGAGCCTCTCCCATTTCTGCCACCCCCAGACATGATGGCTTCTGAGGCATGACTGGGCAAAGGGGGGCCCAGCCCACAGTGTGGGGGGCTCAGAGGCCTTGCTGGGTTGGCCCAGCACCTGCCTTTGCTATCTTCAGAGACACCTTGCTCCATGTGTCTCTGGATAGATGATCCCACTTTCCAGATGAGCAAACAGAGGCTCAGAGCAGCCAGAGTGTCCAGGGCCCTGCTGCCGTTACTGGGGCTGAGACCACCACCAGTGACCAGTGCTCTGTGCTAAGTGCCCGAGGGCCCCAGGGTGGGGTGCCCTCTGCTCCGACTCCCACACTGTGGACTCCTATTCTCATGGTTGCCTGCACCGCCGGGGGGCCCGGGGCAGGGCTATGAGGCGAGGGTCCTTCTCATGGGGTCCGGGGCGGGAGCACTTGGAGAACACTCTGTGAGCTCGCCTGCCCTCCCGGGGCTGTCTGTGGCCCGCTGGCCATGGGGGTGGGGGATGTTCCTAGCACAGGGTGGGGAGATGTTGGGAACCGGCCAGTGGGAATAGAGGCCGCAGAAATCCTGTGGACAGATTAGCAAACCTCATGAGTCAGATCTGAACTCACAGACTCAGCAGCTCAGCCCACGCCCGGGCTCCCTTGTTCAGCACCAAAGAGGCTGAGCCTCCTGCAAGTTACCTGGGTGGGTGGGGGTCAGGGTGGCCGGTGTGACTGTTTCCTGATGTCCCCAACCCCAGTGGCAACCCTTGTCCCGCCCCTAGATCCATTTGGGACCTGTGGCCCCTCCTCTCTCACCCAGCTGGTGGCTGAGGAGGGGACACTCACCTCCCCACACACCTGGTCCCAGGTCCTCAGGTCATGCCACAGGTGTGGCCTCCGCTCTCCTGACCTTCATATCTCTCAGCCCCCCACCACCTTGCCCGCAGGGCCTGAGTTCCCTCCCCCAGCACCCCAGACTGTGCTCTGAGTCAGCACATCTTGTAGGGACCTGCATCTGCTTTCCCTCTCAGAGCCCCAGGGTCCCCATCTGCTCAGGCTCTGGGGCAGGCCTGGCCCACACATGGTGAGTGTGGTCCCCACTCACCTGCTGGCTGTGGTGCTGGGAGAAGCAGAGGTGTGAGCATAGGCAGGAGGGGCGGCCAGAGGGTGGGACCCCAAGCTCATTCACTGTCATAGAGGGTGACCCCAGGCCTGCTCTGCAACTGGCTGTCCTGCCCCCTATGTGGCCAATGCAGACCCTGGAGGTCACCTCCTAAGCTGGCCGCACACCCTCGACACAGGGCCAGGGTGTGGATGCCCATCCATCTGACCCATCCAGTGGAGGGGCCTGAGCTTCTCCAGACCCAGACCCCACCTGACCCCACCTGACCCCAGCCGCATGGGAGGGCTTTGTGCCAAAGCTGCCCTCCAGGTGGGCTAATGCTCCCCTCTAGCTGCAGGCCCAGCTGCAGACCACCGAGGCCCGGCTGCGGAGGTCAGAGCTGGAGCACAGCGTGGACCTGGAAGAGGCACTGGGCCGATTGGAGGCTGCAGAGCAGAGGTGAGGCCAGGCAGGCACAGCAGTCAGGGCTGCAGGGAGCTCGGCCATCACCTCAAGAGGCAGTGGACCCCACTGTGCCTTAAAGCTGAGGGCCAACCTGCTCCCAAAGTGGCTCTAAGTCGAATTCGCCTGTAAGAGTCAGCTGCAGGCTTTAGGGCTTGGAGTGGGGGGGAGCAGGCAGGGGAAGGAGTGGGTAGAGCAGAATGGGGAGTTGATGGCCTCGGGCGTGGGGTGCAGGTCCGACAGGCTGTGAGGGTCTCCCTGCCCCTACTCCTCGAGTGTGCCCCCCAGACCCCTGATGCCTGCTATGGCTGGTGCTCTGGCCAGCACTGTAGCCGACTAGCCCTCGGGTGGCCCAGCCCGTCCTGGGGTGCCCATGGTGCTGTCCTCGAACCCACTCTTCATGCTCTGGCCCTGACTCCCAGGCTCCTTTGGCCTTGGTCACTCTGATTTCATGGTCAGGGGCTCATTTGTTCACTGTGGTGAGCATGTGTGATACCCTAGCCTTGCAGAGGTAGCCCCTGCACCCCTGGACCCCAAGCCTCAGGACACAGTCCCAGAAGGGCAGGGCACCCCTCCAGCTCTCTGCCCAGAGGAGCTGAGCCCTCAGTGTCTCCACCTGCAGCCCTGGGGGCGTTCAGGCCCGTGGAGTTCTTCCACTTCCCGCACTTGCCAATCCTAAGGGACCGGAAAGGGAGGAGAGTGCAGGGAAGCCCTTTGCAAACTAGTTTTGAGGGGGGCATAATCCGAGTGGAGGCTCACACCCCAGGAGCAGAGAATGTCCTGCCATGGCCTCGCCGCCTGGCGGGGAGATGCTGGCTCTGGAGGGTGGGTTTGGCATCCCTCCACACACAGGCCTGTCCTGGGTGGAGAAGGCCCCCAGGTCACGGTGGGGGGCTGCCCCTCCCTGTTCTCACCTGCCCCACTGCAGGGATGGCAGCACCCCCTAGCCCTGGTACCCTGGCCAGGGCTCCCAGCCCTGCCCCTCTTTCTTGTCTCGGGGTTCACCTCTGCACCTAGGATTGAGGAGCCCGCCACAGTTGTGGGGGCAGAGCCAGGAAAGCTCAGAGGGGAGAAAGAGGGGGCCAGGGTGGCATCCAGATGTTGGCCCAGTTTGGGGGCCATTGGGGACCCACTGCATATGGTCAGTGCTGCTTAGGGACATGCAGGGAGCTGCACCCTGAGCTGGTATCAGCTGGGCCCAGGAGGTTCAGGGCCGGGTCTCCGAGCCTCTCTAAGCAGAGCCACCTGCCCACACCACCGCTGTGGTTCCCGCCCGCCCAGGAGCACCGGCCTCTCCCAGGTGAACACGCTTCTGAGGGAACAGCTGGACCACATGAAGAAGGCCAACGACGCACTGGCTGAGGAGCTGGCCCGGACGACGGGCAGCGTGCTCCACCTGAGGGGCGAGCTGGAGCTGAGGGAGGCTCAGCGCTGGACGGAGAGACAGGTGCTCCCTCGGCCTCCACCCATTGGCAGGGATACTTGCTCCAGTGCCCGTGGCTGCTGGGGGCATGGGCAGCAGGGACCAGGACAGGGGAAGCTGGCTTCAGACATGCTTCCTTCTGAGGGCAAGGCACTGGCCTCCTGAAATGCCACACCCCCCACGCTGCTTGGCCACAGCAGTCTGCAGAGTTGGGGGGCCCAAGGTAGGGAGACTTCCTGCTTGAGAGAAGCAGGGCAGGACCGAGGCCAGACCTGAAAAGTAGGGGCTGGAGTCCTGGCTCTAGCATGCCCATCTGTTCCGGAGGCCTGCCTCCTGGGCAGGATGCAGCACGTGGCTCCCCGCTCCTGGCCAGCAGGGCCACGAAGCCTTGCCTGGTCACAGTTGTCTGAAATCCTAAGCCCTGGGGGCGGAGGCAGGGGGCGGGTGGCGAAGTGCTGCAGGTGAAGCCTCGCCAAGAGGAAGAAGCTGTTCTTCATCACAGGTGGTCACCGACAGCAGGACTCTCAGCCTGAGAGGGGTAACATTTGAGACGGATCACGCCCCATGCCCTGCCATCCACGTCTTCGCAGGGAGCTGGGGGACAGGTCTGAGCTGGTGTGGCTCCGGTTTATCAGGGTCTATACCTCCCCTTGCCCTTAAGACCTGATCTCGCTGGCTAGCAGATGTGTTCTCTCAGCAGCCCCAAGACACCCTTTCTGTCTCTGGCTTCCAGCCCCTTTGATCCTGACCGAGTCCTGGGGAAGGCCGTCTGCCTCCTCCCTCTGGCTGCTGTAGGATCTCGGCTTTGGCTCTGCTGTCCTGCAGTTTCACTGCAATGTGTCTGTGTGGAGGTTGCTGTTTGTCTGTCCTGCTGAGGCTTCATCGGGACGCTGTGTTTTCGTTATTTGGGGAAAGTGTCCATTACTCTGCACACTGCCTCCTCTCCGGCCTGAGTGTGTAAGCCATTCTCATGCTCCCTCCGTGCTTCTTAACTACCTACCCACATCGTCTTTCTCTTTATTCCCTGATCTATATTCTAGTTAATTTCGTCAAATCCACCTTCCTGGTCATCAGTTTTCTCTTCAGTTGTCCAATCTGTTAAACTTGCCTACTAGGCTTCCATTCCAAATAATGTATTTTTCATCCTTAAGAGTTCCGGTGAGTTCTTTCCCAAATATCTTACTCTTTCCTCCTGTTTTCCAGCCTGCCATGTATATGCTGGTGCATAGCAACGGCAGTTGTCTTGTAGCCTGTGTGTGATGTCTCATATCTGAGGTTTAAGGTCTGCCTCCACTGTTCCTGCCACCACTCCATGTGCTTTGTGCCTTGGGTCTTTGGTGATGTCTTCATTTTGTTTTGTTTTTAAAGTAGGAGCTGCTTATTTCCCTCTGAACTTTGTGAAAATTCTTTGACACCTGGGATGAATGTGGTATCTTCTAGAGAGCATTTTTATTTGCTTCTGACAGGTGCTTACAGCTTCTGACGGTCTTTGGGACCACATTGAAGTTAATTTTCAGCTTGAGTTTTCTGAAAGCACCCAGTTATGTGAACGCAGGCTGAAAACTGGACAAATGCTGTCTGGGCCACAGGGAAGGTAGTTTTCCCTCCTGTCTTAGTGCACCCAGGCTGCCATAGCAAACCCCACAGACGGGGGGCTTATAAACGCATTCATTTCTCACAGTTCTGGAGGCTGGAAGTCTGAGATCAAGGTGCTGGCAGATTCGGTTACTGGTGAGGGCCCCTTCCTGGATCGCAAACCTTCTCAGGATAACTTCACGTGGCAGAGGGGCGGGAAGCTCTCTGGGCCCCGTTATAAGGACACTAACCCCATTATTAGAGCCCCTCTCATGGCCGCATCACCTCCCAAATTTCCCCCTCTGACATCAACACGGTGGGGTTGGGAGTTCAACATATGAATTGGAGGATACAAGCATTTGTGTGTGTGCGTGTGCGCACGCGCGCATGTGTGCATGTGTGTGCGTGTGTGCGCGCATGTGTGTACTAGTTCACTCTCAAGTTTACTCACCTCTAGCACACCTTACACAGAGTGCCACTTCGGGGTATCACTTCTCTGTGTGACTAGATTCCCCCGGTTGGGTGGCCTCTGGGCTTTACTCTCTCTCCCCTGAGCCCCTGAGGTCAAGGAAATGTGTTGAAGTTGCTCCATTTGGCAAAAGCTGCCTACGTACCTCTGACTTTATCGGTTTCTGGCCTGCGTGTTCCTCACCACGCGGGCCAGCCCAGCCTCCAGTTCAGGACTTGTGAAGTGTGGAATCTGAAGGATGTAGGTGTAGTTACTGCGAAGGCTGGTCCGGGCAGCCGCTCCTGCACTTACCGGGCAAGCAGCTTATTCCACACAGACACCGAGGACCCTGTGCCAGGCACTGAGGGGCACTCCCTCCACAAGGCGCCCAGCAAAGTGTTGGGGCCAATGAGGGGACCTGGGACGTGAGGTCAGGGCAGAGGATCAGCAAAGGCTTTTCCTGAAGGAAAAAGGCCAGGCCACACACCTGGACATCTTAGGAGCCCGCCCAGAGTAAAAGCCACCCTCCACTCTGGAGAAGGAGGCAGAGCCTGTACCCTGTGTGTGTGGGGGGCGGGGAGGGGTAAGGGGGTGCACGCGAGCTGAGGGCTGCAGAAGTGCCTCCCACTCCAGAGGGCCAGGCTGAGTGGGTCCTGCCCTGGGCAGAAGCTGGGTGTGGTCACCTTACAGGTCCTCTGGGGATGGCAGATTGCATTATTGTGAAAGATGAGCCCATTGGGCTGCAGGACGGTTTGGGGTGTGGGGTCTGGCCAGTGTGACAGCTAGAGGAACGGGTCGCAGGGCTTCTCACTTCCCAGGCCTGGGCCTGCACCTGAGGTGGGCACGGGCCCTTTCCTTTCAGACCCGGCGTTCACACCTTGGGGTGCAGCCCCAGGACTTCCTCCTCCTGTGGAGACAGGTGACAGCGCTCCGAACACACGTGGCTGAGCTTCGATCTGCCTCTGAGAGGTGAGCCAGCTGCCCCATCGGGGTGTAGGACAAGGGGCATCTGATGGTGGCCCAGGTATTGGGCCCTCCAAGCTGCTCCCATGGAGGAGCTGTTCTGGCTCACAAGCCACTGCCCCAGCCCTGCTGGGCCTCAGGGTCCCTGTCGGGTGGAGGGTGGTAGGGTTGAGATGCCCTAATGCACAGAGGGAGGGAGGGGGTGCAGGGCAGAGATGACGGAAGGGGAGGAGCTACACGGTACAATTTCCAGTTCCTCTAGTCCTTGCCAGGCACCTCTTGGGTCTGCCCTGGATTATTGAGGGACCTGTCAGCCCCTCTTCTGCACACAAGGAAACTGGGCTCAGAGGGTCCATGTCCTCTGTGGCCTTGTTGAGCCCTTGCTCACCCCTCTCTGGCTGTGACATGGGACCATGGGTAACACACAATAGAGGCCTCTCCTGAGAATGGGGGCGGGGGAGGGTAAGGGGGTCTGCTGAGGGCAGAGAGCAGGACCCATGTGACCATACCCTGCCCCTCCTAGCCAGTGGGACACCTTCAGGGCCCTGAGCCCACAGCTGGCCCTGAGGTTCAGCTGGGGGTGCTGCCTTGTCCCTAGGAGTCTCACTGACATGCAAGCAGAGGCAGCCAGGACAGCCCGGCGCCTGCACACGGCCTGCCTGAACCTCAACTCCAACCTGCAGCTGACGGCCAGCAGCTCGGCAGGTGCCCTGGAGCGGCAGGCCTTGCAGGGGGCTTGGCTGGAGCAGCAGCTGCGGGACAAGGTGCGGGAGATGCTGCAGCTGCAGGGCCGCTGGGACACGGAGAAGGTGGCACTGCAGGCCAGGTGGGTGCCTGAGAGGGCTATCGCACAGCGGAGGTCAGGTGGGGGCTCCCTGCGCCCCCTTCCTATCTGCCCCGCAGCCAGGGTTCCAAGTGATAGGCAGTTGTTATTCCAGCTGCCACATGACATTCCCGCGGGTAGGCAAGCCCAAACTCCTTCCAGCCCTGCAGGCCAGTTAGAGCTCCCCAACTTGGAGGGTCTCCGTGGACACTGCATTGGACACACGTGGACTGTCCTTGGGGCTAAAGGCACGTCCTTCAGGGGCAGGCGCTTGCTTTGGGGTCAACTGTTTGAGAAGCAGAAGCAGGCAGTGGGCCGGGCCCATCTGGGGTCCATGAGCCTCAGAGGAAGCATGGGATGTTCTGTACACAGAACCCGCATCAGGGGCTTGAAGTATGTTTCCTTCAGCAGAAAACAGGGAAATAGCTCCCCACTGAAGGCCACAGGGCACAATTCCACAGAATCTGCGTGCCTGGGGCTCACATGGCCACAGACACCCTGCCGGCTGACAGGATGGGGCCCGTCCTGCCCTCAGGGGGGCAGGAGTTCATGGGGTGCGGGTAGTCCCGTACATCCTGCAGGGCAGCACTCAGGGCCCCAGTACTCAGAGCAGAGTACTCTGGGGTCATGGGAAAGGAGATCCAGGTGCCATGGGGAGTCAGGAGAAGAAGGTGGGTCCTGGGAAGGAAGGGACAATAACATCTTCACTCACTGTTAGACTTGTGGTGGCAGAGGTAGTCCAGGCAGGGCAGTGGCGGGCAAAGGCCCCCGATGAGCACTGCATCTGCTGGCCCCAAGGACAGGGAAGGGCCTCAGAAGCTGAGTCAGGGTCAGCCTGGGCCCTTGGATCCTGACGTTGGGGTCTGTGCTTTACTCTCAAGACGGTGGGAGCCATTGAAGGTTCTAAAGTAGGAGAGAAGTGTCTGACCAGACCAGGGACTGAGGTCCACTCAGACAGATGTGGCCAATGCCTGAGGCCCGGCCACACCACAGGAGGAGTCTGATTCAGCCAGGGAGTCTTCAGGGCCCACCCGTGCCCTGGGCTCTGTGCTCTGTGCTGACCACCCTGCCCCCCACCCCCCGACTTTTCTGCAGACTCTCCGAGCAGAAATTGCTGGTGGAGAAGCTCACAGAGCAAAACTCGGAGAAGGAAAGAACCATTTCTTCCCTCAGAATGGATGTTCAGAGACTAGTGCGTGGGGCTGGGGACATGGTTGGGTGTGGGAGCTCTGGGGCCGGAGCGTCGGCCGCCCTGCTGAGGGGTCTGCCTGGGCACAGGAGTCCTGGCGCAGTGGAGGCCAGCTGGCGGCAGACAACCTGAAGGAGGAAGTGAAGTCCCTGCGGCGTGTTTTGAACATCATCACAGAGGTGCAGGCCATCTTGGGTCCCGGGGGGTCCCGCTGATGTGTGGGATAATCTGGGAGGTCCCCACTGGACATGGCCCTGAGCGCTCTCCCCACACTGTGAAGGTGGCCCAGGCAGACTCGAGGTGTCCAGAGCTGGCACAGAGCAGCAGCACTGACAGGGAGAAGGCACAGAGACCACTGAGGAGCCCTCCACGCACCTCGTCCCTTCACTGGGGTGCATCTCCACCACGGGCCCACTCCCGGGCCAGCCCAGACCCTGCGCTGCGGGCTGTGCGGGCAGCTATTGAGAGGAGGCGGCAGCAGGAACAGGTGGGCAGCCACCAGAGCTGTACCCTGGGCCCCACGGGGATGTGAAACCCATGGGGCTGGCAGGTGTTGCCATAGGACCTGCCCCTGAGCCCCACAGCCCCAGGGAGGGGGCTCTGCCCTAGGTGCATCCTTTCTGGCTGGGGTCTGTGGTCAAAGGCCTGCCCAGGCCGGAGGGAGCTCATGCTACCTCCCTCCCACCCCACCCCGAGCAGGAGCTGCGTCTACAGCTGAAGTCCTCCCAGGCGGTGGCGGCCAGGCTCCGGGAGCAGCTGTCAGAGAGGCAGCGGGAGCTGCGAGCCTCCCGGAGGCTCCTGCAGGAGCGAGAGCAGGAGCGGGGGGACCTCCTGGACAGGCTGGAGGCACAGAGCCAGAAGGCACAGCACTGCAGGGCAGCCAGCGAGCTCCTGGGAAGGTGGCTGGCCTGAGGGCTGGGCAGGGCGATGAGCTGTCTGGGTCCAGGTTGGACAGAGCGGGCCGTCCCAGCTTGGGGGCGCTTCCCCCACAAACCTTCCACATAGGAGGGAGTGGGCAATGATTCCTGGGGACAGGTGGGCCCCTCAGCATGGAGGGAACATGGCCAGATTTAAGGGGCATTTGGGAAATGGAGGCCTCGGGGGCCAGGGCCAGGGGGTGCAGCTGAGGTTCAGGTCCCTGGCGGAAGGGTGACATGCGGCAAGGACTCGGAGTGGGTCAGCGTTGAGCACGGCCTCACACAGGGAGCTGGATCTGGAGGGCCCAGGGCCCTGTCAGGACAGGTGAGCAGTACAAGCAGATGTGGAGCTGGGAAAGTGCAGGTGGAGAGATGTCTCTTCCGTCCAGCAAGTTCTGTAAGGACTGGTGGAGCCGGGCCTGTGGGTGGCAGAGGGCTGAGCACAGGGCTACACCAGGAGCCTTTGCGTTTTAAGGACTCCCAAGGGCCACCAGGAGGGGACAAGCTGCTGGCCACCCCACCTTGCAGGCTGTCCTGGGGCTGGAGGTTGCTGGATCTTCCTCGTCCCTCCCCACACTTCCCTGAGCTCCTGCCCGCAGGGGCCCTCATGCCTGGCGCCCACCCTGCCCTGCACATCCTCCTGGCAGTGGGCTGAGGCTGGAATGTTCCCCGTGTGGGTCTCCCGGCTCCCCTCCTCCAAGGCTGCCCCAACCTTGGCCTCCCCTGCTCCCAGAGAGAAGAAGGCTCTGGAGTTGGAGGTGGAGGAGCTAAGGGGCAAGATGGATGTTTGGGACATGGACAAGCAGAAGCGGGAGGCCGAGAACGCTGAGCTGCAGAGAAGCCTCCTGCTCTGGACACAGCAGAAGGAGGAGCTGGAGCAGCAGGGCGAGCGGGGCCGCAGGGAGCTGCAGACCAGGTGGGCCTCAGCGTCCTCATCCACTAAGGGGACCGCTTCCTTAGCAACCCTGTTTCCGGGAGTGGGGGCACCCACCGAGACAGTGGGGGTGACAGGCTCTCCAGGCTTCCTGCAGGCTGAGCCATCGCCCCAACACCCACCCAACACCCGCCCAGTGCCTGCCCCAGCAAATCCACCACCTCGGGCCCAGGAGAGGGGGTGCCCCCAGCATGTGTGCACCCAGGTGAGTCCACTGAGGCATGGACAGAACCCCACCCCCAGCCGGGAAACAGGGTCCTGGTTCGGATGCCACCCTGTGCACTCACCAAGTTCAGGCCTCCAGAGTGACCTGAACTTGGAGGCTCCCTGGGCTTGGAGGAAGTTGCAGGCGGCCACCCTGCTTGCTAGGTCCTGTGAGGTGGCCTGTCTTGCCTTGAGCCAACCTCACACCATCTACCTCTGATTTGGGGACCTTAGTCAAGGGCGCCTGGAGCAGCTGGAGGAGAAGGTCTCAGGGCTCAAGAAGGAGCTGGTGTCGGCCCGGGAGGCACTGAATGCAGCCCGGCTACAGAGGGACGTTCTGGAGAGTGAGAGGGAGGCCCTGCATGGCACGCTGGCTCGGGTATGCCTCTGTCTCCCACCTCCCACGTGTCTCTCCCACCGGGCCATCCTTCACTTCTCCTGGCCGCAGCTTTAGTGCTCGGGAGCTGCTGTTTACCCTGGAGGCCTCCTCACTGTGGGATTCCCTTCCCACACCCATCCTACCCAGACCTCCAGCTTGCACACCTCCATGACGAGGGGCTCACTCCTTCCCTGGCACCAACAGCTCTGCCGGGGAGAAAGTTCCTCCTGTGAATCTGAAAGTCCTTCCCTGGCATCCCCCCTCAGGGTGACCACTACCCCCCCCCCTCCGCAACCCTAGGCTGAGTCCAGCAATGCTGACCTGGAATTGCTTGTGACCCGACTGAAGTCAGAGGGGGTGCAGCAAAGGGACTCCCTGGCCAAGATGGCCACCCTGATGGAGGGCCTGGCGAAGGACAAAGGCAGCCTGACCCACCAGGTCCTGCAGGTGAGACGAGGGCCATGTGAGAGCCCTTCCCCTGAGCCTCATTCCCCAGGGTGGCCATGAGACTCAGTCCCAGCTCTGGTCTCTGAGCCTAAAATCCTCCCTGCACCCATCTCCCCTCACCTCTTCCATTCCTGGACTGAGCACAGGTGTGTGGGGAAGAGGCCTACATAGGGACAGTGGGCCTGGACAGTGGGCCTGTGGAGGGAAGGCCACACACACCAAGGCAGTCCAGGGAGAGATGGTCAGCCCATGGAGGCACAGGTGTGTGGGGCATGGCCTGGATGCCGACTCCCCCAACACCCCTCCCCCCCGGCAGCTGCAACAGGAGGGGGACCAGCTGCGGGAGCAGGAGCAAGTGCTGAGGCAGGAGCGGGCAGACGCCAGGGAGCGGTTGGCATTGGCAGAGCAGCAGCTGGAGCAGCTGGAGGGGCAGGCAGACCGGCTCCAGCGTGAAAGAGCCCAATTGCAGGAGCAGGTGGCCCAGGTGAGAGGTCTGCAGGGGCTCCTGGCTCTGGCCACACCCTGCAGGGCCATCCCTTTCCCTCTGTGGTGTGGACGGGTCACAAGTCACCTTACCACATCACACTGGCTCAGGATGTCAGCACCGGCGCTTTCTGACTGCAGTGCTGACTGACTTGGCTGCATTCAAAGGCAGGTTCCCTGTGGTGGGGGGAGAGAACAGGGGGTGGGTATGCAAAGAAGAACGTTTACATCATACCTGCCACCAATCCCAGGGGCTGAGTTCTGCCCCTCATTAGGGGTCAGAGGCCCAGTGATTCCACACACTCAGGGCTCAAAGGCTTCACTGCTTTTTCCTGTATGTTGTTGCCTTTCGTCCGCAGCTGGACTCACTTATTCACTCGGTCACTGATTCCCAGGTCTTCTATTGACATAAATCTTGTGTTGAGGAGGAGGCCACACTCAGGGGGCAGTTACACTGAAGCAATTTTGCTATTTTCTGGGCCCCCAGTGGCATTCAGACTGCATGGCCCCCTGTCACCTACCTTTGGGACTCAGCGCAGCCTCTTTTGGCTTCTGAGACTCTGTCGTGTCCCTTTTTCAGTCATTGGTTTCCTCTATATTTAATTACACGGTTATATCCAATATGCCAGTGTACAGTTCAGTGAGGTTTGACAGCTCCGTGCACCTGTGTCGCCACCACTGAGACCAAGATGTAGATCTGCTCCACCAGCCCAGCCCGTTTCCTCATGCTCCTCCAGGCACCCCACCCCTGGCAGCCTCTGCTCTGCCACGTACCACCAAGACTGGTGTCGCCTGTTTTAGAGCTTTTTGTAAATGGAGTCACAGTACAGATGCTTTTGTGTCCAGCTTCTCTATGTCTACAGGGCTTTGAGAGCCATCCATATTGTCAGGTGAATCAAGAGTGTGTTCCTTTTCACTACGTAGTAATATTCCATTGTACAAATAAACGACATTTCCATACCTATTCACCTGTGGCGGGGCATTTGGGTTTGGGGCGATAATGGACAAGACTGGTATGAACACTTGTGTATATATTCTCATTTCTCTTGAGTAAATATATAGGAGTGAAGTTGTGGAGTCATTGGATAGGTGTGTGCTGAACTTTATAAGAAACTGCCAAGCAGTTTTCCAAAGTGGGTCTGTCATTTTACTCTACTGCCAACAGTGGGGAGACTTCCATTTGCTCCTTGGCCTTGTCAACACTTGGTATCATCCATTTTTACTTTTTAGCTCTCCCATGTGTGTGGAGTTATATAGCATTGTGGTTTAGTTTACAGCTCTTGATAACAGGAGATGTTGAGCACATTTTCATGTTATCTGGGAATAACAAACTTCACTTTTTTTATGGCTTCAGTGCTTGTATTTCTTCTTCTCTCTGTGCACTGACTAAAGGCCAACAGAACAAAGTCAATAAGAAGTGGTGAGTGGCCTTCCTTCCACCAATGACAATAATAGGAAAAAATTCAATATTTCACCCTCAAGTATGATATTATCTGTAGGCATTTTATAAATGTCTCTTATCAGATTGACAATGTTCCCTTTTGCTTAAATCCAGAGCCTTTGCATTCTGTTAACATTTTTTCTGTATCTATTAAGATGATCATGTCATTATTCTCACTCTGTTAATGTGATGAATTATATTGGTTAATTTTTTAATGTTAAACCAACCTTGTCTACCTGAGATAAACCCTACTTGGTCATAAGTTAACAGATATTTTATATATCTTTCAATTAAATTTCATAATATCTTGTGAAAGACTTTTGCATGTTTATTCATGAGGAATGTTGGTCTGTAATTTTCTCCTCTCATAATGTTTTTGTCAGATTTGGAATCAGGGCCTCATAAAGTAAGTTGGAAAATATTTCCTCCTCCTCTGTTTCTAGGGAAGTGTTTTAAAAATTGGTGTTATTTTTTTCTAAATGTTGGTAGGATTCAATAGTGAAGAATTTTCAGTAACCACCATAGGCTCGCCCCAATGACAGTGACGGGGTCCCACTCACCTGCTCCACCATCCCACTGTGGCCAACGCCCACCATGTTCCACACACACACCCTGGTGGTCAGTGCATGTCATAGCGACTGGTTGTTCAGTTGTTCGGTTGTTCCACTGTTCGGTCTATTTGCATATTCAGGTTTTATATATATAGACTAGAGGCCTGGTGCACAAAAATTTGTGCACTCGGGGGAGGAGGGGGGTCCCTCAGCCCGGCCTGTGCCCTCTTGCAGTCTGGGACCCCTCAGGAGATAATGACCTGCTGGCTTAGGCCTGCTTCTGGGTGGCAGAGGGCAGGCCCAATCCCTAGGTGCAGCCCCTGGTCGGGCTCAGAGCAGGGCTGATTGGGGAGTTGGGGCGCCGCCCCCTGTCATGCACAGAGCAGGGCGGATCAGGAGGTTGCGATGCCACCCTCAGTCACGCTCAGGGT